AGAGGGTGAGAAGAGATGGTGGACTTAGAAGAGGAAGAAGAAGAACTCTCTCTGTCTCTCTGTGTCCAGTACTAACCTGTGAAGTTGGCGCCTTGATGCAGGTACCTCGAAGATGGAGCTGGAGCGATGGGGCCACAGGTAAGTACCACTGGCCTCCGCCAGTATCTCTCCCAACTCTACGATCTACCACCTACCAGCGCCCAGCGCTGAAGAATACTCTATGGCTATGGCGCCCAGCGCCGAAGACTACGGCTAGCGCTAACTACTGCCTAGCGCTGAAGACTACTGCAGCGCTCCTCCTGAGTGCTGCCCGAATCCTGAAGACTACCCGTGCCTACTGACTCTACCTACCCRTGAAGTGCCTGGGAAGTTCCTATGTACTACCACGGGTGCCTCCTGACTGCAGGCGAGCAGTCCAGGAGGCTGCTCTTGCCAATGCCAATCGGAGGCAGGAGCTGCCGCTGCAGCTCCTGCTCAAGGTCGTGGGAACAGGCTATTTCTGGCCTGTTCCTGAGACCCTATTTCCGTGCCTGAGTCTTAGGGGCGGTTGAAACAATGAGGGCCTGAAAATGGCCCTCCGTTTCAGGCTGGAAAAACTCTGGGTCTGAAAGACCCAGAAATAGGCTGAAACGGAGCAGGGCCTGCAGGCCCTCGTTTTTCAGCTTTCGGGCTGAAACGACCAGGGCCTGTAAGCCCTAAGTTTTAGGCTTTTAGGCTAAATGTCCGGGACGGGCCCTGCAGGGCCCGTGTGGCTACGCAGTATGCCACACTCACCCTCCTCTTCTCTCTTGCTGCCACCATGCAGCAAGAGAGAATGTGTTGGAGGCTCAGCGCTCAGGTGCTGCTCCGACAGCTCTGCCGCATTGGCACAATGCCCGAATGTGTTGGAGGCTGCACCCTTCAGCCTTTTCTGCATGCTGGAGAGGCCGAGCAGCCTCTGGTCTGGCTGCCCCCAGTGCCAGTCGCCTGCGCCCTGTGACCCTTCTGGAAGCTGCGACCAGGCCCGCCGTGCGCAGCATCTTCAATTAACTGGGCCCACCGGTTAGTTGGAGATGCCGCCAAGACACTGCACGCTCTGGCAAGTGAATAGGCCCCCATTTCGCTCACACTGGCCTTTTCTGAGGCCGCACTGTATTTCAGAAGGCCCGCCTTCACCTATTAGGGTGGTGAGGACCTTTCTCTGGCTAACAGAGGTGTTAAATCCGTGCAACTACGTCTGAAGTTGGATGCCTCATATCCTATCAGACAGAAATAACCTCAAAGACAAAGGCTACAGTCGACCACTCTCACCTCAATAGCTCCTTTACTCACATTCCTTCGGGTTCATTATTTTCATAGTTGACTGACACAGACTCCGAATGACAAAATAGCTGTGAATCTGCTGGTTCACTGCATCTACAGGCCAGGATGAGTCTGTACTCATCAGTGAGCATAACTCCAGGCCTGCACTGCGGGGTATGTCCAAGCGTCCGATAGGAATACCATAACGAGGTGCTTAAAAAAAAATGTGAGATCAATTTGGGTTTTAAAATCTACTAGGTTCATTTTGATTGAAAGGGGTGTTGCACAAGTGCACCTGGATGCTATTGTATGCCATGTGCCTTACGGGAACCCACATCTGTATTGAAGCTGGGCTCCCTGTAAAGGCAACACGACTTGTAAAGCAGAGCAGCAGCCTTCCTCGTAGCCGTAGATGAGAAAGATAGGAGTGGTCATTCCTGGCAACTGCCGCTGATCTTGGAGGAAAGGCGCTGTGTGTGCTAAGAACTTCACTACCCTTCTTCCCCCCAATACAACGTACGGTCATTATAGCTGTACCTAGACTGATGTCTCAGATACAGCTATAATGACCGTACGTTGTATTCGGAGGAAGAAGGTAGAGAGTAGTGACCTGTGTATCAGAAGATGTGACATACCTGCATCGCATGCCTGTCACCACAGTGAAAAGAAAGGACGAATGCAATGCAGCCGAAGCTTGAAAACAACCGATCTGACTCATAAGACTCGGAACCCAGACAGCAATCAGAGTGGCAAGGTGGGAGACATATGTCGCATGCCTACAAGCAAATAGGCATGGTGCATAATCAAGAATTACTGGAGTGAGGAGCAACAACAATGCAATACAGCGGAAGACTGAAAATAAGCAATCTAACTCATCAAACTCAGGACTGGTAGCACTGTTCACCCGAAATTTGCAGATTGGCTCAGTTCGGTTGTCAAGTTTGCCTCGGTAAGGTACCTGGGGTCTCAGTTCTTATGAATTGAGCGAAGGTGATAACAATTGGCTTGGCACACAGTGAGCCTACCATCCATCCGTCAGCTCAATCTTTGCAGGTTTAAATCCTGAGTCAGAATCCTCCTCCTTCAGTTCCGCCACTCTGACCTCATGGGTACCTCCTTCCTTGTCTCCTTTGGACTCGTCAGAAACCTTTTTCTTTCTGTCACCCTCACATATTGTGGTGTCCTCCAGCACTTCAGGATTCTTCTGGGCCCATCTCCCCTTTTGCTCAAACTCTTCATCTGAATCGTGGCCCCATTCTCGTACTGCAGAGATGCAGAGAACCATTGTTTTCCCCGCTGAAGCATCCCGCTCTGTGATTTTTCTCAGGGCCGATCGGCTGCCTTGATTCACTTCTCGTTCATATCTGCAAGGAAGGGGACGGGTGAACACGTTCATTTGCAAGAAGAGAGTTCAATTGGAACATGCTCCAAAGAATGTATACTTTTTTTTTTTTTTTCGTAACAAGTGGACCCGCCGCAGCTACGCTGCGGCAAAGGTCGATGACAAAAACAATTTGCGGAAACACTCCAGTCATCAGTTGGATCACATCTTTGCAATGTACCCACACGGGACGCTGCCCAACTTTGCAAAACGCCCCGGCAGTTGCCAAGTTTTTGTAGGTGCAATTGTGAAAGGCCAGGCGAATTTTGCACACCTGCCTGACAGGGGCATAAGACAAACATGTCAGCCCAAAAGGCCATTCCACTGTGCCCATATCTTTTACGGACATTTTGACATTTATGCTAGGTTACCTGATCGGACGTCCGGGACCCCCCTGACTGTCCGCGGTTGTCCGCTCGGACAACCGGTCGGACATCCTCCCCTGGCAGACTGTCCGAGCCCGAACGGCAAAAAAAAAAAAAAAAAAAAAAAAAAAAAAA